TTCCCAGTCCCTGTCACTTTGGAGGGACCTGTCCAGGTGAGCTGCAGGCTCTGTGGGTTCCCAGGGGGTGGCAGATGCTCCCAGGTGCCATTTTACCCGTGTGACCAGCTGCAGAGAAGTGGCTGACGGGCCATTGGCAAGGTTGAGGGAAGTTTGGGTTGCCCTAGCCAGGTGAGAGGTGCCAGAAAGATGGTGACACCCTGCACTGGATGGGCTGTGTTGCTGGGCTGTGCTGTGATTGCTTCAGCTCCTGTTCAGATTCTAATGCTGATGCAACTTTTCTCTTATTTAGCCTGATCTTACATCAACTCCGAACTTTGTGGTGGAAGTAATAAAAGATGATACAAAACAGACCCTTGTTCTTGACTGCCATTATCCCGAAGATGAGGTGGGTATCAGACTGGTTGTGTGTCAGCTGTTGCCAGCTCTGGGCTGTGCCACATTTCCTGCTTGACTGTAGTGTAATTCTGCCGCTGTTGAATCTTAACTGCTCTTTATAGTCTGTTGGCTTTCTGAATCTGCAGAAAACGCAGTCTCTTAACTCTTTTTTTTTTAACGCAAAAAAAGGCTTTGTTTTTGCAAGAACACTCTTTTGGGAGGAGATGTGCCATTGTGTTCCTCACATCCTGACCTGGCGTTTCTGATCGGCTGCTTGTTGGCGTGTTTATTGCATTACATTAGAGAAGGGAGGCATGGCTTTACTTTAACAGCATGGCAACTTAAGAGAGGTAAACAAGAATGGCTAAAACAAGATAGATTTAATACAGTGTGTCAGTAACTTGCAAATCTCATTGTTGTGAGGTGTCACAAAGAGAAACGAGGATTAAAAAAAAGAAAAAAAAAAAGAGAGGGGTGGATAAAATCGAGAGCTTTGCTTCAGGCTGATCTTTGTAGTTTATTTTGTAAACCTTAACAGATCATTTACACAGCCAGTCCTAGCTGATAAAGGTTAGACAGACTTGTGGAGGCAGATTTAGAACCACACAGAAGAGGTTTTTACATCTTTGTAAAAATCAGGGTGCTGACTTACCTCGATTTGCTTCTGGCAGCATGAGCTGGTAGACTGACAGCATTTCCTGTGCTCTGGTGTGTGTCTGTGCTGTTCTTCACAGGCACGCATCCAGAGGGCAGAGGCACAGCTTTAGTACCGGTCTTGGGGTTTTGCCTGCAGTGGCAAAATTCCTAGCTTTGGGATGAGATGGCTGAAGGGTCGCAGTAGTGAGAACTAATTGTATGTCTTACGTCTCATCTCCTGTTTCAGGTTGGACATGAGGGAGAGGAAGAAAGTGATATTTTCACAATTCGGGAGGTCAGTTTTCAGCCCACTGGAGAATCGGATTGGAAGGACACCAACTACACCCTCAATACGGATTCCCTTGACTGGGTAAGCACTGCTAACACACACGGCCGTAGGCTGCAGAGGGCACCTCAGCGTATCTCACCTGGCTCTCCGTGTGCTCCTGAATGACGAATGAGTCCTGTCCCAGATGTCCAAGGTGGGGCGTTCCCCTGCTCTGCCCCAGCTTACCAGATGGTGGTTCTGCTAAACGGAGGGTTATTAGGTGGTCTGGCAGTCGTGTGGTGCTTGGTGCTGGCGGCGTTACTGGCAGTCAGAGACAGACATGTTGAAACTTGTTCTGTTCCGGGCTTTATAGGTTGACTTCCTAGCAGCTGTTGCGCTTTAGAGATGCTTTGATACTGGCTCAGACATCTTTTGATCTGTGTGTTTAACAGTGTAGGTTATCAGATACCACGTCTAGGTGCCTTTGTTTTTCTTGGTTTTCCAGGTATGTTTTTTATCGTTGTAACACTAAAAACTAATATGCCCAAGAATCTGGCATCTGCTTATATGTTCTCAATGCCAGGCTTTGAAAAGCTTGAATCTTATTTTGAGGCTGTGCATCACATGGTTAAAACTTTACTCCTAGAGTCTCTCTCTCTTTGGGAAGCATTCATGTTAATATTGGTTAGTATGTTCTAGAACATCCCACACCCTCTGACTTGAGACAGAAAATGAATTAAAAATGGGTATGATTTGTGATCTACTCAGATTACAGAAGTCCAAAATGAATCATGTGCTTAGTAATATTGGTCTGTTTAAAACAAAAAACCAAAACCCAAGAAACACATGACAGGTATCAGCATTACTGCACTAAGCAGTAATAATGAATCTTCTCCTGAGGAGCAAGGGGGGAACCCCCAAGCATTAACAGATGCTGGAGTTACAACAGTTAAGTAGGATAAAAAAAAAACCAAAAAACAAAAAACCAAACCAAACCAAAACAAAACCACCACAAGCTGATGATTGTGAAAGCCTTAGTCTTTCGAACAAATATTTACCTCAGCTATCACCCTTTCCAGACATTGTTAAAGCAATTCACCCCCAAGGCCATAGCTTTATGTAGAGGGGATAGGCAGAGCTTGGCACATGTAATCTTTGACAGATGTTACCTGTTGACTCCTACAGTTGATCATCTCCAGCATGCAGCTCGTTTGTAATGTTGGGTTTGGGTTTATATGACCAAGTTTGGATGACCTGTTCCATGGCCCCTTGCCTCCAAGTGTTCCACTCGAGGCCAGGACTGCTGAGAAGGGGATGGGGAGCTGCCTGGTCTCCTGTGGGAGGTGGGCCTGATCCTCCTGGGAGAAAGAAATGCCAGCTGCCAGGGGACATTTTAAAAGCAACCCCTACCCAGGTGTGCTCTGCTAAGGAAGTTTCCTGTTTGTTGCTTCCAGGCTCTCTATGATCACTTAATGGATTTCCTGGCTGATCGAGGAGTGGATAACACCTTTGCTGATGAGTTAATAGAGCTCAGCACTGCACTGGAGCACCAGGAGTACATTAAATTCCTTGAAGACCTTAAAAGCTTTGTCAAATGTCAATAGGTTAGGCTAGGAAACTTATCTTCAAGTGTGGGTATTCCACAGCACTGCTCCAGCCACCAATACCCAAATATATCTTCACAACAGATACAGAGAGTAAGTAACTTTGAATTTGGAGAATGAGGATTCTCACTTGTATTTTGGGATTCCTATTTATGTTGCAGCCCAGATCAAGTTCTCTAACGTTATGGTCCTGAATTGCCTCACCCTGCTTGGTGGGTTTTGTACAATTAAGGATTGAATGTGAAGAATAAAAATCTGTTCAACATATCACTGAAAAGTGGTGGTTTCTCTTCTTCCTGCTGTACCATTGCTGACCAGAGAGCTGCCATAAACATGATGCTAGTGTTTGTGTCTGAGACAGTGTCGATACAGCTGCTCACAGAGCTGTCGCTGCAGCGATGCTGTGTTTTGGCCTGGAGTTTTTTCTGGGGAGGGCACGCTCCAAACACGCAGTGTGCCCTCTCTCAGACTTGTGGCTGTAGGAGGAATGTTGCTGGCCAAGCAGTGCTAATTACGAATGTGAATCTCATTCTAGAAATCTTGGTTGTCTATGTGTTAGGGAATAGAAGTCAGGGTCTTAAACATGGTGTTTGAGGAGCTGTTTTAAAAAAGGATGTGCTGGCATAACCCATTATAGTAGTATTAATGTAGCTATTTTAGAAAAATACGTCAAGGAGGCTGGAGCATTTCAGTTCCAGAATGACAGAGGCTGTGGATGGTGATGTCAAAGGGCAGTCTTCTACTCAAACTGGCGTCTCCAGTTGTTGCCTGAAGGTCACATTAAGTTTAAACAGAAACCAAAGCTGAAGCCCCGTGTGAGCTGTGAGATCACTGATGCATTGTTACAGACAACATGAAGGCTGAAATAAACTAAGTATATTTATTTCAAAACATACATTGTGCCATTAAAAGTGCAGGTCAAGGCAATACTACTGCCTTTTCAAGTATCTTTTTGAGACAGCAGACAAGTATATACATAAAAATAGTAGCAGCTCTGGGTGGATTTTTAGTCTTGAAGTCCTTCCAGTAAAAAAGCAGCAGCTGAAACAACTTACAGGAGAATTGTCCAGGAGTCACAGACCTTTACAAAAAGGTAAGTTGAACAGAGAAGCTATACTAATGTATAAAATGAATTATCAATGTTCAAAACGATTTGAAATGCTCTGTTCCTAACGCTGTCCTCGCAGTGATTTTACCTAAGCAGCAAAGCTAAGAACATGCTAGCTCTAGCTTGAGCCAAAGGGATGGTATGTCTTTTCTAAGAGGTATGGGCAAGCCTTTTGAGGAGGCTTAAACTGAAAACTTTTCTTCATGAACCATTTACCTGAACAGATCCACACAAGACTTGGAAGTTGTTGGCTAAGGTGTGAGAACGGTAAGGTACTAAATTTGAGAGGTCCTTGAAGGATTCCCTAATCCAGCAGTTAAGGTAACTTGTGTACTTTGGCTCTTGTTTTTATGGTTACTGGTGGTCAAAAGTAAAACCATTTCAAAGGAAGTTAGTGGACAAACAGCAACACAAACCCCTGGGATCAACGGACTGGCCGTTTCTGCCCACGTAATTGAGAAGTGGATCCAAGCAGAGATCCTTTCCAGGAACTTGACATTTGAACTCACCGGACAGCTCATGAGAAGACTGGCTTCTTCCTCCATTCCACTGGTAACTGTGAACTCTGGGTTGTGAAAGCACCTCTGACTGTGCTCTGTTACAGTGTTTTCTAGAAGTGACCGAAGCTTCCCTTCTGTCATATCCTGCGAAAAATTGGGTTAAAGCAAATCTTAACCTTAAGTTGCCGTCTATAGCTCGAAACTGCCTCTGCAGCAGCAGCAGACATAAGATGTCACATTTAACATGTTACTCACAGCGCAGCTTACCTGTGTGCTGATGTATAATCCGCACTGGCAAAAAACGAAGTGGTTCCTCACAGTCAGGTAATTCCTACAAAGAGCATACAATGAGCACCACCACAACAACCAGAGCAAAGGTAGATTTTAGCAAAAAACCTGTTAGATTTAGGTGATCATTGCTCAGGTTTTTTTATTTTGTTTGTCAACAGCAGCGCCTGTTTCTAAGCCCAAACTGCTGTAGGGGAGTGGAGAACCTCACTCCAGTGCCAAGGGCTTTCTTACTTTCTGCACACTGGGCAGATGACCTTGTCGCTGGCATCCAAGCCATCAAGCATCGCGTTGAGACATTCTTCGTCAAACTGCAGGCTTCGCTCGTACTCTTCTATAACCAACTGTTCTGCAATAACACAACAAAATCCCTTCAGGCATCTGTTAACAAACTTAGGACAAAGCAGCGTACGTGAAGCGGCTGGATAGATGGAGGCTGGGGCAGCCGCTAGTTTGTAAGAACTTTACTTTCTTTGGATCAGATCTCTACACTTGATGAAATCATTCCTGGTAATCCAGTTTTTCCTATAACTCTTTTGTTAGTCTCAAGTGGGTGACTTTCCACTTTCCAACCAACAATTTAGAAACATTCTGAATTGATTTATACAGGTTCCTACAGCTCCCAAACACCTCAGTGCTGTTTCTGTGGTCTCCTCTCTTGTTAGCTTCTCACAGACCTTAAAATGCCACTTAAACTCTTAAACTTGTCAAAAAGGGTCACAACGTGTCAGAGAGGCTGGAGAGATTTCTAAAGAGGCTCTTCCTTTGTATCACGTAGTCTACAAGAACCACGGAGTGCAGCCTCAGCTAGTTTGGATTACTAGAAAGTCAGGAATATTATAAATCAAATAGGAGTCAGAAAACATGTAGAGACATTACCTTGCAAGATCAGTTCTTGTTGGATCTCTTCCAGTACTGCTAGCTCATCGGGGTCCTCTAGCATCTGAAAGGTGCATCAGTCAGTGATTCTCCCATTCTGGCTACTTTCTCACTTAACTTCCAGCACCTGCCTGAGCTGTCACTGCAATGTAAATTCACTCTGCTTATTCTTGTCTGGTAAACCTCTGTATTTGCAAAACCACACACGGTGGAAAGCAATCTATACTACAATCACCTGTGCAAAGTCAGCCACAATGGATCAGAACACAGCCTAAGAACTTGCTTTTTAAAACACTGAATTTTTATTCCCGTTCTCAGGAGTCGGATGTGACAGATCAGCTCTAAAAACCACAGATGAGGCACCAACCCTCTGCCGTGATTCACACGCAGTTTGTGAAGGAAATAAGGAAGTTCCCCACCCGTGGGCCCAAAGGCAAGCACTTTCACAGCCCAACACCCCACGCTGGTTGCAGAAGCAGGAAACCCAGACGCTCTGAGTCTTCCCAATTCCAACCACCGAGAGCCCGAAGTTCCAGCTGCAGAGATGCATTTGATGTGCCTGCGTTAGACACACAGCGCGCTGACGCTGGAGACTGCGTGAGCCCAAGAGTTTGTACTGA